CAAACATCCTCAGACAGCACCTTCCAAACCTATGACCAGTTCCATCTAGAAGGACAAGGGCAGCAGATATATAAGAACACCACCACAATCAAGTTCCCCTCCAAGCCACTCACCTTCCTGACGTGGAAATATATCACTGTTCCTTCACTGTCATGGTCAAAATCCTGGAATTCCCTCCCAAATAGCATTGTGGGTCAACACGCAGCAGGTGGACTGCAGTGTTTCAAGAAGGCAGCTTACCATCACCTTATCAAGGGCAACTAGCGACGGGCAATAAATGCTGGCCAGACAGTGACACCCATTTCCCACAAAATGAATAAATTTTTTAAAATTTCCAATTTGTCCTGTCACCTTTAATGATTTATACTCAGAATAAACCCAGGTCCCTCAATTCCTGTATCCCCAATGGAATAGTTCCCTATATTTTATACTGTTTCTCCATGCCAAACTAAATCACTTCCCTCCTCTCTGCATTAAATTTCATCTTGTCTGCCTATCTACCCATTCTACCAATTTGTCTGTGTCCCTTTGAAGTTATTGAGTCCTAAAGCTTCATTTAAACAGTGATGATGGCCATATCCTGGATGACATTTCCCAAGATCCTGCAGGACCAAAAGGATTTCGTATAAAATAAACAACTTTTCAGAAAATGGTTATGAACCATCAGTCATTTTACAATTAAATTGCTAAAGAAAATAATCATGTCCAGTGCACTCAGGATTTTCCATCCACTGCAAGGAATACCATTCTTGTGGTGCAGGATTTCATACTCCATTTTTGCACTGTAATGATATTAATTCAGAAATACAATTATAGAATTAACTCCATTACAATTCTGATGATGAGTCACATTTAAAACTTTTGATTTCACCAACCTGCTTTTCTAGCAATCTTTGTTTCTAGATTTCTATATATTATTAGGAGGATAATGTTAAAAGTGGAAGTGAGATGCTTGAGCTTCAGGCAATGCATGGCAGCAGTGTTATTTTAATTTTACCAGTTCCCAGCATTTTTGTACACAGAAAGTCAAATAAAATCCTCCTGTGGTGCTGATGGTTTTGAAATGTAATCACTTGTTTTTGCTGCTGAATAATTATCTGTTTGTACTACTGCCAATCTGGAGAACGTATTTATTTAGAAAGCCTTACCAGGTGATAACAATTTGAACAGGTTAAGCATTCCAGCCAACAGTGAAACTTTCTGAGGAACAGTCTAGGTTTTTGTGAATGTTGCCTTAATGTGTTATGTAATATGTTGTGAAGGTCGTGAAATACTAAAAGTGCAAATAATTCAAGACTTTGAAGATTAAATTGCTTTGTTGATGTTGTACTTGTGACAGAAGAACAAAGATATAACTTTGTGTTTGCATTTAGAAGTAATCCATCAATCTCCAATACCTCAAACATTGTTGTTGGTTTTAAAATGACACATTAAAACACAATCTATCTTTCTCGTCCGTACTAATCTTCACATTTTGTGCAGCTGAAATAATATCAGACCCGGTCATTTTTTAATCATTCTTTTCTCTTTGTGATTTTTATAGCTAAATGAGTGAGCAGGTAACCTGCTCCAAATGACTGTTAATCTAGCTGTGTAACTAGTCACTGGGAAATCAACAGGAGCAACTTAAGTAATTCACTTTCAAGTATTCCTGATGGCCAGTATCTGGCATCTGCTTTGTGTTTCACCCTTCAGAAACACTCTGTGCGAGGAATCAAAGGCACTAGCACGTTCTTAGTACTCCACTTTCTTTTAGAACAGAAACAGAAGTAGGCCATTGAGATACCTATTCCATCATTGAATTAGAACATGGCTGCTCTGTATCTTAACACTACATAACTTTCTCAGCTCCTTGTCTAATAAAAATCGATGAACTTCAGTTTTAAAAGTGATGAAAATTAACTTCTATAAATCATCATTTGCATCTCCTCTCGAAAATTGTTTCCAATTCTATACACTGTGCTTTAGTAAGGATATGAAGGCTTTATGGCGTAGGCAGAAATGTTTACAAGAATAGTTCCAGGGATGAGAGATTTCAGTTCCAAGGATGGACTAGAGAAGCTGACGTTCATCTCCTCACAGAAGAAAAAAATGTGAGAGGAGATTTAATAAGATATGTTCAAAATCATAAGTTATCTATATTGAATAGATGGGAGAATGTTTTTCCCTTTGGCAGAGGTCAAAAACCACTGGACATTGATTTAAGGGTATTAGCAAAAGAAGCATCAGGATATGAAGAATATTTTTTAATAGCAACTGGTTAAGATCTGGAGTGCACTGTCTGAGAGTGTGATGGAGATAGATTTAACTGCAACTTTCACAGAGCAACTGGATAAGCACCTAAAGAGAAAAATAAACTATTGGGCTACAAGGAGAGGATAAGGGTTTAATTCCCTGTATTTTTTCCTGACACTGTGATCAGAAGTCAATGCATCAGCATGCTGATCAGTATACAGATACGGGACTCATTCTTGGGTTGCTCTTTTAAAGGAAAAATATTGACATGAAGAACTGAACAGCCTCCCTCTGTGCAGTATCCATTCTATGATGATAAATTACCAACTGATGTGGCTTCAACAGCTTTTTGGAGTACACAGTTCCAGATTTCTATTGTCTTTGCATGAAAATTTCTCCTTGAAGTCACATCTGGATAATCTGTCTCAAATTTTAATGTTATGCATCCTTCTACCGGACTTGCTCATCAGAGGAGATAGCCTGACTCGATCTACCCTGTTAAATCATTTTTAAATACAGCAAATAGATTGCTTTATTCTACTAAACTCAAGGGAATAAATATAAGCATAGTGTATTTTTGTAAGATCAATACTCGGCATCACCAGATTGTTTTTAATGATTTGAAATCAATATATTTTCTATTTATATTTTTCAATTATCTGACATTCAACATTTGAAGAATTGAGCAAACAATTTTTTGAAAAATTCCCCTAACAAAAACAATTTCTATCTCATTTTAGATTAAAACCATTCAGGGCACAGATTTATGAAGCATTTATTGTCCAAAGTAATGTAGCAGGTAATAAAATGTTTTATTGTGAATCATTGTGAGAATAGCATTTTGTTTCATCTCTTTTTTTAATCTCATGTTCACTATACTATTATCACCTATCCTGTAACTACCATCATTGGCCTTGGTTTAAGAAAATGAGAAGGAACTACATTGATGAAAATTCCAAATAAAGTATTTTCCTCACTTTATAAAGTACTTTTATCCGTAATGTTTCATCTTCATATCTAAGAAAGGATACATTTCCTTATAGGTGGCGCAACAAAGATTCACTAGATTGATTCCTGGCATGAGATTGTCTCAGAGGAAAATTGAGTAGAACAGACCATATTCTTTGGAGAGAAGAATAAAAGTTGATCTAATTTAAATGTAAATTCTGAATAGGCTTGGCAAGGAAGATGCTAAGAAATTGTTTCCATTGGTTAGCAAGTATAGAATTAGTGGTCATAGCCTCAGCAATTTAGAATTGTGATGAGGAGACACTTCTTTACTTACAGGCTTGTGAATCTTTGGAATGCTTTACACAGGAAGGCTGTGAATTTTATTTTCTACCATTGAGTATGTTCGAGGCTAAGATCAATTGAGTTTTTAATTCTAAGAGAATAAAGGGATATTGGAATTGGGCAACAAAGCAGATTCACAGTCTTGGGGGATGGGGATGGTTTTTCTAGAAGGGTCACGGAACCTGAAACGTTAACTCTGATTTTTTCTTCACAGAGGCTGCCAGACCTGCTGAGCTTTTCCAGCAACTTCTGTTTTTGTTTCTAGAAAATATATGACTTCTCTGGCACTTATATGAAATTTGGAAACCTTCATATTTATTCAATTATTGCAAGATTTAGAGTTTAAGGTCAAAACACCCAGGAAATATGTCCATTACATTATATATGTTTTGAGTTTGTGGATAATATGACGGAATACTTCAAATAATTGCTGAAGAATCTAGTCACAAAATTATACAATAATTTGAACTGTCCTGACTTAAAATCTTATATTAGATTTATTTGAATAAGATTTTAAGTTAAGAAGACATTTGTGAATGCTGAAAATCTGAAATAATAGAACACGCTGAAAACACAAAATCAACCAACATTTGAAAAAAAAAGTTTGCACTCAAAGTAATATGTTTTCAGGTGTTGATAGCACTTTATATTGTTAAGATTAAAGTAGTGTTAAATAGCAGTTGCCCCTACTCAAATAGAGTAGTTTTCTTGGAACAGTAAGTTCCATTTTAAATTACAAGAAATTACAGTACAGACCCATGTTCTGTTTGCATTGAAGAAAAGTGCAGCTGCTTTGATTATCAAAGCAAATCCAGTTGGAACATTTGGTTTATTAACTGTAAACAAAAATTCTGAAAAAGCCATGCGTTGAGAAACAACATTGCACGGCTATTCTGAACCGCCTACTGTGGCTTCCCCGAGCTGAATCCAACCCAGATGTTCAGAGGGAACTGTCAGAACTTTTTATAATAACATAATCTTGAGTTCTGTATTTAACCAACTTCTAACAAAGAACGGGGAAAGGCCAGTATCTAAAAGTCTTCAACAACAGTACACGGAAGGGCTCGAAGCTGTGAAAAAAAAATCTGCGGGTGACATGTTTGACATGCAATGAACACTGTAAATATTGACTGCAACTTTAAATATGATAAATAACATGGAGAATTGGTAGAAACGTAGTTGTTTTGCGCTTTATATAATGCCAACGGCGGACACGTAATCTATTTTTGTAAATTATTTGCATAAACCATGTTTTGAGAAGCTAATACAAAGTTTGCAGTGTGAACCTGACAATCAGATGGCCCGGTCTACCCTGAATCCCTGTGTCACCGCAGAAACACTGCAAAAAGACCTATTCCAAAACAGAAGTTTAGTCAATCTTGTAATTATTCGAATGTAAAGAGAACTGGTTGTAGAAGTTTAATTTAAAAGCATTTAATCTATCAACAATTATTCAAAAGATAAAAACTTACCTTACTAGTTGCACTGACTGCTCGTGTTAGGATAAAAAGAGAAAGAATATATTTGGGAAATCTCCACATTTTAAATGCCTCTTTTCGATATTTGGAGAGAGCAATCTGAGCAGAAATGCTGTACCATCAGCAAGAATTCAGTGACAATGCTTGCAAAGTCATTAAAAATCATTGAAGAAATATCTTTGGTTTCCTACACAAGGCTCGCCTTCAAACCTCATCTGAAACTGGGAATAACTGCGGCTGCGCAGTGCAGATTTCGGCTTTTTGGTAGGGGCAGGATTTTTTTTATAATTCCCACTGTGTATTGAATGCGAGGGAGGGACAATAATGACTACCAACTGCAGATCGTACCAGCCCAATGTCCACGCAGAGAGGACGAACGATCACTGAAGTTGTTGAAGTCTCCAAAACGAACATTTACTGGGGAATAAATGTCACATAAAGAAGAGTTTCATTTGAATATGAAAATAGCATGCTATTATTGTATCCGTTCACTTCACAGTATGTTCAATTGAACCAAAAGGAGTTTAAAACGAAAGATAATACGTGCGTGTGTCCATTCCTAATTTACCAAATGTTTGAACAAATCGTAGCTTTTCTATGTATTTTCTGATGTGACTGCGCCATCTGATGGCGAGAACGCCTCCTTTCTCCAAGGAACGAAGCAGAAATATATTTACATTCAATCGTTTTTATTGAACTTTAGATTTAAACTATGACTGAATCTCTTATTTCAATTGACAGGTTTGGTTAAGAAATACTGTTGAATGGATGAGTCACTTGTTCCGAATTACTTACATTCTGAATTTATTGAAGGAAGTGAGAGTTGGAGATAGCAGAAGAACTTGTCATCTTCTGTCGATTTCCCCAGTCTGGGAGAGGTGCCGAAGGAATGGAAAGTAGCTGAGGGTGTCCGCTGACCTATTCCCATCACATTCAATCACCTTATTTCATTCATGTTCTGGAGAAGGGTCACTGGACCCAAAATGTTAACTCTACTTTCTTGCCACAGATGCTGCCAGACCCGCAACATTTTTCCAGCAATTTCTGATTTTGTATCTTTCATTCATTGCAGGAGAAGCTGGCAATTACAAGAAAGGGGGGCCCAGACTAACAGAGAGGTGTCAGATATCTGTATCCCTTACCCCTCAAGAGAAGCAGGCTGTGAGATGGTACATGTTGACCACAATTAGTCTACACCACTGGAGTGATTAGAATGGGAAGAAATACAGCAAGGAACATCACAGCCTGCCCTTCTCAGATATGCAAGCAGTCTCACACATTCATCTACAAAAAGACCCTGCACCTTCATCAACTAATTCTTTATCTTCAGCAGGGACTAATGACAAACAGGCAGCCAAATGGTTATGGGCAGAGCCTCTGCTAAGTACTACCTCTAAGGATGATGGCTCTGATACATCAAAGGAGGCACGAGCAAGGCATTCACTTGCACCGTACACCTGCACATTGACTAGATTAGTTTTGGGATTACAGCGTACTGTGGGACAGTGGCATCAGCCCCATGCAGAAGATGTCCTTCTTTACTTTGCTATATAAAATGTAAGTGACATGATCAACCTACAGAGACAAACAGGAGACCTTTAGGCAATGATGCTGCAGTCCTTCATTAGACTGGAGTGGCAGATGGACTCCATCCAACTTCTGACTATTGTCATGACTCCAGCATATGACCCTGTGGCTGCTTCCCTGGAAAAGGGTTTTGGCTACTTTGGAGAACTGGGTCCAACAGGATGCTCAGTGACTGCCAGATATGCACTTGGACCTGCAGTCTATTTGCTCTAGTCATGAGTGCTTAGTATCAAAGGCAAGGTGAGAGGCGGATAAGCCACTTTGACTTCACTTAGGTGTCTTTTTCCCTCAAGTAGACAGGATGATGCCAGCATGCATGCAGAGAAAAGAGGAAGAACAACCAGGCAGCCCAGGAATTTTACCTCATAATGCACCAGAGGTGTCCTCTCCCTCCACCTCCTCTCTGCCAGTGAACCGATTGCGTTCAACAGCTCAGGTTTATCTGGGTACACCTGCATTTGCACAGGAGATTCTCAACAGGATGGGACTTTAAGGCCATTTTTGAAGTTTAAGAAATATATATTGACATTTCTAGTGAAATTTGCGAAATATTTCTCTAGTTTCAAATTAAATCATCTGTCTGATGTCATAGAGGTATAGGCCTGACAAAGCTGTTGCTGCTCAACTGTTGTAATCTTACTGTAAATATGATGTGAACCTTAATAAATACATTTGAATGTTACAGTGATAGAATGGCACAATATGTTTGATTATTTACCTGTGGGACCCAATTGACCTGGGTAAGCTTGAATCAGAGATAGTAGCTTAGCCGAACTCGTCCTCACACTCAACAACTTCTCTTTCAATTCCTCCCACTTCCTACAGACAAAGAGGGTAGCCATGGGTACCCGCATGGGCCCAAGCTACGCCTGCCTCTTTGTAGGTTACGTGGAACAATCCCTCTTCCGTACCTACACCGGCCCTAAACCCCACCTCTTCCTCCGTTACATTGATGACTGTATCGGCACCGCCTCGTGCTCCCACGAGGAACTCGAACAGTTCATCCACTTCACTAACACCTTCCACCCCAACCTTAAGTTTACCTGGACCATCTCTAACACCTCTCTCCCCTTCCTGGACCTCTCTGTCTCCATATCGGGCAACCACCTAGAAACCGATATTCATTTCAAGCCCACCGACTCCCACAGCTATCTAGAATACTCCTCCTCCCACCCACCTTCCTGCAAAAATGCTATCCCCTATTCCCAATTCCTTCGCCTCCGCTGCATCTGCTCCCAGGATGAGGCATTCCACTCCCGTACATCTCAGTTGTCCTCGTTTTTCAAGGACCGTAACTTCCCCCCCTCGGTGGTCGAGAACGCCCTCAACCGTGTCTCCCACATCTCCCGCACCTCATCCCTCACACCCCGTCCACGCAATAAGAACCAAAAAAGAATCCCCCTCGTCCTCACGTACCACCCCACCAACTTCCGGATCCAACGCATCATCCTCCAACACTTCCGCCATCTGCAATCCGACCCCACCACCAAAGACATCTTTCCCTCCCCACCCTTATCTGCTTTCCGGAGTGACAACTCTCTCCGTGACTCCCTTGTCCGCTCCACACTCCCCTCCAGCTCCACCACACCCGGCACTTTTCCCTGCAACCGCAGGAAGTGCTACATACCTCCTCCCTCACCCCCATCCCAGGCCCCAAGAAGACTTTCCACATCAAGCAGATGTTCACCTGCACATCTGCCAATGTGGTATACTGCATCCGCTGTACCCGGTGTGGCTTCCTCTACATCGGGGAAACCAAGCGGAGGCTCGGGGACCGCTTTGCAGAACACCTACGCTCGGTTCGCAATAAACAACTGCACCTCCCAGTCGCAAACCATTTCAACTCCCCCTCCCATTCCTCAGACGACATGTCCATCCTGGGCCTCCTGCAGTGCCACAACCATGCCACCCGAAGGTTGCAGGAACAGCAACTCATATTCCGCTTGGGAACCCTGCAGCCCAATGGTATCAATGTGGATTTCACAAGTTTCAAAATCTCCCCTCCCCCTACCGCATCCCAAAACCAGTCCAGCTCGTCCCTGCCTCCCTAACCTGTTCTTCCTCCCACCTATCCCCTCCTCCCACCTCAAGCCGCACCTCCATCTCCTACCGACCAACCTCATCCCGCCCCCTTGACCTGTCCGTCCTCCCTGGACTGACCTATCCCCTTCCTAACTCCCTACCTACACTCACCTTTACTGGCTCCATCCCCGCCTCTTCGACCTGTTTGTTTCCTCTCCACCTATCCTCTCCTCTATCCCTCTTCTATCCGCCTCCCACTCTCTCCCTATTTATTTCAGAAACCCCTTCCCCTCCCCCTTTTCTGATGAAGGGTCTAGGCCCGAAACGTCAGCCTCTCTGCTCCTATGATGCTGCTTGGCCTGCTGTGTTCATCCAGCCCTGCACCTTGTTGACCTGGGTAAGCACTGGGTTTAATTTGCAAATATGCCTAAACTTTTATTTCATGTTTGGGGAACAACGTAGATGTGAAAGACCATCTCATGTGTGAGAGATGATTGTAAGTCAATTAAATTTCATATTTTTCTCTCAATTAATGTATTCTGTTTGGGTGATCTTGATGCGTGCACAACTGGCCATCTTCTGTAGTCTATTGGAGATGAAGCAGAAAGAGTTGAGAAAATAAAAACTGAAATAATTAATTTAAACCATTAAAATAAAACTAGTAAATTAACAAAAAAAATCAAAGAGAGAGATAAATAAGGAAGGAAGTAAGGAAATGCGAACTTTACACCAGTATTCTTTCTGCATGCACACATAAGACTGTCTCAGAAAATTTTGGCAACAGCTTGATTGTTTGCATACTTCAGCTTAATGTTTCCACTCTCAGGTAAAACTGGTAGTAAAGCACAATGAGATGAAAGTGTGTCGCACAAATCTAATCAGAAAGGGTATCCTGAACAATTTCTTTGACTTTAAAACAAGTTTAGAACTTATTGACAACACAAAGTGAATAAGCAGTGGGAACGAATATGTTTTCCATTCATGATTAAGACCTTCATAACCTAGCATTGACTTCCCTACCAATCTGCTATGAGGTCTGCACCTGGAGAAAATTGTACATTCTTTGTATGTGAGAGTAATAAATGTGCATCACTTACATAAACATTGAATTACTATAAAGTTAAATATAATTAAAGGAAGATTTATTTCCAATATGCAAATTGAAGAAATAGATTGTACTTTGATTAATCACCACAGTAGGGTAATTGATTGAAAGTTTAGAATGCTGATGTTTAATAATGAATGTCTTAATGATGAAGAATTTGAGGTTTTAACTCTGTTATAAAATAATTACAACCTTGTTATTTCAGTTACTCAGTGGAGATATTCAATTTTTACATGCTGTATTTAATTTGTTATGTTGGGCCACTTACAAAAGTAATTAAATTGTAGAATCAAGTGGATATTCTCACGCAAATCCCAAAAGAGCTTGAAATGATCTTGTCTGTATGGTTCATTGTTTTTTATGGAAAATATGAAAAGGTAAACTTGCCATAATAGAGAGATGACTGGTGGTGGTTTTAAACAGAGGGTCACCACAGCATAGATGAGGGGAGTGTTTAAGAAGGACAGCCTTCATGGTAACCTCAGCTGGTGCAGAAATGGAACCCACGGTGTTAGTATCAATA